ACAATTGGACATCAAGTTCCACATAATGTTAGCATCATCTTCCAAGTCCTAAGTATCTTCCTTATCCATTATATTCTTAAATACTTCTAATTTATCTCCTTTTAGGTTCTACCATCTCGTCCTACGACGCCCATCATCCTTCCTACTCTCTTCAACCTCATTGCTGTCACCAAAACCGTATCCACCATGCACCCTTTCACAACCTAGTTTATCTACGCCTACATGGTCATTAAAATCTCTACCTATAACCAGGTTCTCTCCTATGGGTATCTCCTGTAAGATCTCATCCATTTGCTCCCAAAAAATCCCTTTTAGTTTGACCATCTAATCCTACTTGAAGGGCGTATGCACTAATAACGTTCACTATATTCCCTCCAATAACTAGTTTAACTAACATAATCATACCCCCTTTCCTAATAACAGCTACTACTTTCTCCACAAGACCCTTGGCAATTAGATTCCTACCACATTCCTGCGTCTATCCTTACCACTATAATATAGTTTAAAATCGATATTCTTAATTTCCCTAACTTTCTCATCCGTCCACTTAATTTCTTGTACATAGACTATACTAACTCTCCTCCTATTCATAACATCTACCAACTCCATCGTCTTACTAGTTAAGGTTCTTATATTCCAAGTGGCTATCCTAAACCTATAGTCTTGGATTAACTTCTTTACCCGCGCTCATCTAGAAAAACGCGGGAACCTTTGCTCATTTTTCACCATACCCAGGCGTCGATACGACACCCCCTACTCACTTTTCTTTCTATTTATTTTCTCATTCATTTTTTCGTAGTGTCACTACAGCAAATAGCAACACCATATAATTTATTATTATTATTATTATCTGTTCTCTTCTTTACGTTTTTTCCTCAATTTTTTTTATTATTTTTTCCCTTTCATCAATGTTAGCTAGTATCACCCAATACCATAGCAACTTACGAAAGATAATTATTACTATTATTTTTTTTTGTAAACATATTTGTGTGTTAATTTTTTTAAAGAAAAATAAACATAATAACATTTCATATTTACAATAAAAAAAAATTGACTTATAAAAATTACCAAATGTTACCTCATAGCTATATAAAAAAATTATCATTTTTTCTTTTCACAATCCTATATTATTCTCAAATTTTAATTATCATTATAAAAAAAAGGTCAATATTTCTCACCTTAATAATAAAATTATTAAAAATAAATATAAAAGTGAAAAAATATCAAATCACATTACAATAAATTAAAATTAGATGGTAGGGAATGAAAGATAAAGCAAGTATTTGAGAATAATAAACTATTTAAATTTGTCATTTCTTATATCTAATTAAAATAGAATTTTACTTGAAAAAATAAATTATTTGAAAATAATAAAATGCTCAAATAATTTATTCTTTATTACATTAAAATCTATATCGCCATCTTTGTTTCTTTCATTTAAATTATTTTTATTCAATTAAATTACAAAATTAGTTCAAATAAGAAACATGGATATTCTTTCTTAATTTTATTAATTGTTTTTTTTTTTTTAAACTTACAGTGGAAAAAAAAAATACAAAGTCAAAGAAACACACAAAAAAATTACGAGAAATAATTTAATATATAGGTAATTAAATCACAAAATTAATTCAAATAAGAAATATGGATATTCTTTCTTAATTTTATTAATTTTTGTTTTTTTTTTTTTTAAACTTACAGTGGAAAAAAAAATACAAAGTCAAAGAAACACAAAAAAAAATTGTGAGAAATAATTTAATATATAGGTAAATTACAATTAAAGGGTATTAAGTGTAAAGGGTATTATGGTCATTTACACAATCAAGTTAACACTGTTTGGCTTAAATCAATGGGAGGGGAGAATCTTGACAATGTCAAAAAAAGTAAGGAAGATTTTTGTAATTATTAAAACTACAAGGGAGGTTCCTGTAATTGTCAGAAACCTCAGGAAGGTGAGTGTAATTTATCCTTTATGTAATGAAATCACTTGTAAAACTTTATGTACCTAAGAATATTATTTAATAGATTAATTATTTTAAGATTTTGTTTAGCTATTTCCAAATATTACCTTACCATTTATTTATAAATTCTTACATTTTGACCTCTTTAACCATAAAATTTATACAAATAATATTTAATTAAGACTAATCTCTTGTAATTTCATTAGTCTAATTGGCCTCTAATACTGGTTTGTTTGGGATAATCTAAATGAGTATACTTTTTAAATTTTACGAAAAGATGTGTAAAAAATTAAAGAGATGACGTGACCCAAATAAGTACACTTATTTAGTTTATATCAAATAGTTTAATCAAATAACATTTCAACGAAATCCATCAACGACTTGATAGATTTATCTTATACCTTTTCTTTAGCGATCTGGCCAACTAGAGGAATTCTAACTCCGTCCCTGGGAGTGAAATGGTAGTAGTCAGCAACAATAGCTAATGGACAAGAGAGGGGTGTGTGGAAGGTAGAGGAGATGTGGTGGCGGGAAGGGGCTAATTTTTTGGTTTTATGATGTTGTGCAGGAAAATTTAAAATTTGGAAATTGAGTTAAAATGTGAATGAACTTTGAATTTTGTGTGTGCAAATAAGAGCTCTCTTATTTGCTTCCACTTTGTTAGTTAGCTTTATTGCCCTAGTTCAAAATTTTGAAGTCACATTTTCGCAAACCCAAGAACCAATCATATCATAACTGATGTGTCCTAGAGAGCTCTTGAAAACATTATCCTTAGAAGAGGAATAAAATCCCAAAAAACTTCAGGCATTCACTTTTGTGTAAAGGCAATTAACAAATTCAAGAAAAAAAGAAAAGAAAGGAGACCAAAGGAACCAAATATATTTATATATATGACTCTTCTAAAGCTATCCTTCACTCTCTCATATAAAAGCACCAAAAGGTGTTTGGAATAAAGAAACTGGCATTGGGATGAAAAGAATATTATTCATTGATGCTTCATCAACCTCTATCTTTTTCTCTCCTTTTTTTTTTTTTTTTTTTTTTTTTTTTTTTTTTTTTTTTTTTTTCACTGTAAAAAATTACAGGTTACAAACTCTGCTTAATTAAAAATTATAGTTTCACCCATTTTAATTCTTACACATTTTGAGACACAACTCACTACATGGGGTGGTCACCTCATATAAGAAAATTTTCACCTCATATTATGAGAAAATCATATCTAATTCTGTAATCAAATTATGTATATATTGACCCCATGGAATTAACTATAATTTCAAATACAATTATTTTTTTTACACTTCCTTGTAAATGAAAAATAAAAAATTAAATTAAATGACCTATATTGGTGATTCATGATAAACTGGTCAAATTAAACTAGTGAAGAGTGATGATACCAATTACCAAAAATAAAATAAAAATAAACGTGGTTTCATTTATGGTTATAATATTAATTTTAGTGCCGTTTTAAGTGTTCAATGATTCCTTAATCACTTTTTAATGATCTTTGTTCACACAGATATCTTGCGACTTTCACAATATTGGAAAATGAAAGGCATCAAATTGGGGCCCATTCTACTATTTGGCTATGAAGATAGAGATAAAGAAAAGTCCAAAAACCTAGCTCCAAAACAGAAAGATCCAGAAGATGCACCAAATCCCCCTAAAAAGGGGGTGGTTGTCCCAAGTACGTTAGTCCTAATTACGGGTTACTTCAGTGAGAAAACAAAATATGCGTTTTAGGATAAATTATATTGATCTTACCTTGGGATTTGAAAAAAAAACATATAATAAGTTCCAAAAGTTTGACTTAATTATATTTAAATTGTTTAATGTTATAAGTCACGTCACATAACACTTATTCTCTTTTAATTCAAAATTTAATAATTTTCACATTGTGATATATATTATACTTTATTTGTCTTTATGTATAATATAATTTAGATTAATTTCAATCTTTTTAATTTTACTAAAACAAAGATCGGTGTAATGATAAGAGTTACTATACTTATTTTAAATTTTAAAAGACGTTAATGTAAATATTAATAATATTATATTTTATTAAATAATTATGAGTACGATTCCTCTTCGTTTTCAATGCACCAATATATAAATCGAAATTGCTCAACTCAATCACCACATGATTGGATTCAACAAACACAAAGTAGAACTGTTGCGATAATTTTGAAGTTGTGTTTGACTTTTTGTACACTTAATCTTATCATAATAAAAATCAGATAAATAAAACTAATATATACCATTAAAGAAAGAGTTATGCTAGAGATCTCAAATGATTTATTAAATTTTTTATCAAATGAAATCCACACACATATAAGTTTATGTGGGTCTCATACTCATATAAAAGATTTGATAAAAAAATTGATAAACCATTTAAAATTCATAAATAAGTTTATGCGGGTCTCATACCCATATAAAAGATTTGATAAAAAAATTGATAAATCATTTGAAATTTATAACATTTTTCAAAGAAAAAAATTATGTAACCTTAAATAATTTATCAAATTTTCTAACGATTATAAGGTTTTATATAAAAAAAAAAATGAAAAATGCTTGAGAACACTAAAAAGTGATCACTAAAGAGAGCACTAATGATGTGACAGTGGGTCCCGGCCACTTTCTATGCCTTATTTTTATTTTATTTTATTTTTTTTTGTCATTTTCAATGTATTAATGTTATTAGTAGTATAGTTTTTAATGATCTAAATCATTGTTGAAAAAAAACAAGGCATTAGAAATTTAACACCTTGTAAAGTTGCACATATCCCATCGCCAATAGAAGAATTGCACAAATACCAACAGCGCATCATGTATGTACAATTCTCCAAGCCCCATCATCGAAGGGCTTTTAACACTTTTACATTGCTTTAATTTAAAATTTAAAAAATAGTGTAAGAACAAATTCTACTTTCAAATTATACTACTTTGAGCATATAATAACACTATCTGAACTACTTTTTTGCTTTTATTTTTCTCCAAATGTTTATATTTAAGCAAAAAAAAAAAATGTTGTTAGAAATAGTTATCTTTTTGAGGAAAAAGTAATTATCATATTCAACTGTAATTTCAAACAAAATTCATCAGTACACTAGTTTAATTTTTGAATACAGAAAGGTAAAATGGTTAAAGCCCATTGTTAACATGTAAGAGAGAGAAGCAAGAGGTGAAAGAAATTCACAACCCCACTCAATACCCACCTATTATCACATACACAACAATAAAAATAAAATAAAATAAAATAAAAAAAGTTGTGGAAGGACCATCACACACTTCTGGCCATCATCTCTTGGAATCTCCTATAGGACTCTTGTTTCTCCAACATGAACTTCTCATGGCTATTAGCAATGAACATATCAGCTAGCTTATCAATCTCATTCATATGATCACCACCACTAGATTTCTCATGAACCTTCTCTTCTAGCCAATGGAGGTACCCCGAGAGCTGTGACTCCGCCACGTCATCATACTCTGTAGCAATGATAGAATTCCACGTGGAATCGTAGTACGCGTGGCTCTTAGAAAGCCCATCTAGGACAGGCGAAGGCACGGGGAGTACATGAGAAGAGCACCAATTGTAGTGAAGTCTAAATGAACCAAAGAAGAGTTTGTTCTTGTTCTTGTTGTTCTTCTTTAAGGGGTCAATGAATTGAATGAGTTGGATATCCTTGAGGATTTGAATGAGAATTGACTTTGCTTTCGAGAGGGCACCAGCGATGCGGCACATGTGTGAGAAGATGAGAGTGTGGATTAGGGTTTTGAGCTTCATGGAGCTTAAGGTTGAAGGAGAAGAAGAAGAAGATAGTGGTGACTTCATGGAGAAAGCATTGAGAGAGTGGAAGGTTTTTGAGTGAGATGGAGCAACCATTTTTGTGTGAGGGGTGAGGATGATAATGTGACTTGTTCTAAGTGGGATTTATAAAGGGTGTTGATTACCAAATTGCCACTAGATAGTAGGTAATTTAAAGAAAGTACCAACTACTTTGCAGTTCGTCAAGGGGAGTATTTTTCCTTTTACTTTTCTTGGGCTTCCACCATAGAAGGACTGGTAGTTGTTGGGAAATTATACACCATTCTTGAAGTAACATGTACTTGTATTCTCTAATCAATCATCATTTATTCTATTCTTTTATATTTTTCATTCACTCAACATTATATTTCACTTACTCATTTTATCCGTCAATCATAAAATTATAAAATATCACGTCTGTATATTTTAAAATTATTGAATAATTATCGGTCGTTAAAGTAAATATTAAATATAATGCTAAAATTATGTAATGATGTTATCAATTAATAAGAAATTTTATATTATTGTAGTGAGAATTACATGATTGGATTATACAACATGTCCATCTAATTTTATTTGTGATATTTTATTCACTGATAACAATGGTGTCACTATTACGTTTAACATTTGTTAGATTTATTGGTAGCATGAATGCTCCCTATCACTGTAAATAAATAATAAAAATAAAAATGATAATAATAATAAGAAATTCTTAAAACAAACATCACTCATAAGTTATTAATTTACTTAGGAATCAATCAACTATGAAATCTCATAAATCTCATGTCGCATCGTCTGGGTAAATTTAAAAGTAATATGTTTTAGAGATCTTTAAGACCATGTTGACGCAATAAATTTACAATTTTATTATTATTTATTATTTATATAATTACAGGACATGTGACATCCTACTACTCATTTGGAGATTATGAGAAGTTATGAAATGTGAAAAGATGATGGAGAACAAAGTGGATAAAACACAGTACCTTACCTACTTATCTTCCTCGCCAATCATAAAACTATGAAATATCACGTCTGTATATTTCAGAATTACTGAATAATTATCCGTAATTGAAGTAAATATTGAATATAATGCTAAAATTATGTAATGATATTATCAATTAATGAGAAATTTTATATTATTGTAGTGAGAATTACATGATTGGATTATTAGGGAATACAACATGTCTATCTAATTTTATTTGTGATATTTTATTCGCTGATAACACTGGTTTCACTATTACGTTTAACATTTGTAAGATTTATTGGTAAGAAGAAGAAGAAGAAGGAGGAGGAGGAGGAGGAGGAGGAGGAGGAGAAGAAGAAGAAGAAGAAGAAGAAGAAATTCTTAAAACAACACTCTTAAATTGACTCTCACTTGCGTGAATAATTGATACAAAAATAAGAAGAAGAAATTCTTAAAACAACACTCTTAAATTGACTCTCACTTGCGTGAATTATTGATACAAAAATAGTCTTAAAACACCACTCTTAAGTTATTAATTTATTTAGGAATCAACCAACTAAGAAATCTCATAAATCTCAAGTCACATGGTCTGGGTAAATTTAACAGTAATATGTTTTAGAGATCTTTAAGACCATGTTGACACCATAAATTTGTAATTTTATTATTATTTATTATTTATTATTTACATAATTGTAGGATATATGACATCCTCCTACTCATTTAGAGGTTATGAGAAGTTATGAAATGTGGAAAGATGATGGAGAACAAAGTGGATAACATGGAGCATAAAGTGGAGGTTGAAGGAAGTTATAGAAGATTATGGAGTATGAAATGGAGGAGATGGAAGAATAGGGTAGTTATTAGGTAATTTTTTCCTACAAATATTTGTCTATAAATAGTCATTAATGGCTACATTGTAAGAGATCGAGAATTCAAATCAAAGACAATTGATTTCAATATTTCTTGTCATTTTTCTTATTTTATGAGTAGTTTAACATAAATTTATATTTCGAAACATTTATTTTCAGCATTTCCTTTTCAAAGCATTTTATGCAATTCCTTTTCGAAGTATAAGAGTAGAGGTAAGTAATTATTACTTTGATTGTTCACTCAATCATTTTTCTCCGTCTCCATCATTCTTCTTTTAATTTTTCTTTTCTCTACACTTGACAATTTTGAAGTCCTCTTTGTTAAGGAAAAAGAATCGTCAACGCAATCGCTTGATAATTGACTTGAATTTAATCTGTAAGGATTTTTCAATACTTACTACCACGCGCGCATTTATGGTATTTTTTTCGTAAGAAAAATAAGCCAACAGACCATCTCCAACCTTTTATCAAACTCATCATCAAATTGGAATTTGATAAAAAAAGATGTCCTTTTTCAGTTCCAACGGTTTCATCAAATCGGTATCAAATCAAATATTTCACTTTTCTTTTATCAAATCGAGGACCAACTTTTCTTTCATCAAACCATTGTTCGTTGCTGTTGCCGGATGTCCTCCTGGATGACCACCTCAAGACAAAAAAAGGTGAAAAAATTATACTGGCCAATCGATCGCCTCGAGGCAAAAAAAAAAAAAAATTACACTGGCCGAACATCTGCTTGATCGTCCTCCTGGTCGACCGGTAGTCTAATGAAACCCCAAAATCCTCCGTTAGAGTCCTTGATATCAAAGGAAGTTTTTATTCAAATTTAATAAAAAAATTGATATACTGTTAAAGATACTCTAAGTATTACAATATATACATATATATACATATAGATCAAGTTACTCAGTTTAATTAAAAACTAGAGAAATATAACAAAAAATTTTAACTTTTATATTTCTATTTGATCAGCTAACATAACTAAGGCACATATATTTCATTCTTAAGAGCAACTGCCAATGTCTAAAACAAACCCTTAAAAAAAATGAAGAAGAAAAAGTGATGTGTTTGGTCCATTCAACAAAACAGGACAAGAAAGGTAACTCCCCACCCTACCTATTTGTATTTTTTTTTTTTGCTTTTTGGTCTTTTTCTTTTTCCTAGCTAGGAAACAATTCACAGGTGAAACAAGAATTCAAAAACTAGTTTTGGTATTCAATAAGCTTTACCACAATAATTAGTACCAAGCAATATGAATAGGCAAAAATAGGTGTTGGAAAAACTAGGCTGTGGATCATAAAAACAATAATAAGTAAAAGCCAACTTAATCCATATTCAACATCTCGACGAGAGACAAGATCGGCCTAGTCAATCTCATTGTAACGATTTTATTGGTCAAGATCATATGCAACAATGGTATTCTAGGACTACTAAAAAATGAGAAACCAACTGCCACAAGTTCCCCCAACTTTTTCAATAGTAAATTACAATACCCACTTGAATTTTTATTTATTTATTTATTTATTATTATTATTATTATTATTATTATTATTATTATTATTATTTTTTTTTCACAGGGTGATTGGAGAAAAGGTTTCTCTTCAGTCCATTGTATAGATTGGAGTGTACTGTTGAATCTGTGGGGCCCATCATAGGTCTCGTTTCGATAATCCAAACCGTGTAATGTGTAGAACTTGTCGAGTATTTCATGTTTGTAAAAAAAGTCATATTGATCGGATATCAATAACTTTTTGATTGAAATATATTTTTGTCAATAGTAAATATAATTTAAAAAATAAATTGTTAATAAAAATATGTTTTGATTAAGGGGTTACTGATATCCGATCAACATAATTTTTTACAAATATAAAATACTTAACAAACTCTATACATTAATTATTAAAATGAAATCCATGATAATAAGTCTCACGAGGATAACAATACGCTCTAATTACTCTGTGAAACGGAGAGCCTCTCCCACTGGGGGAATGTGGTCCATGCTAAGATGACAGAAAGCCCAAGTCTGAAGGGGAGAGGGGGTGCTTCGGAATCAAGTGTCAGCAAACTCGAAGAGGCAAACAAGGCCGAATCTTCGCCGAAATTACAAGACCAATGACCATTTAATAATTACATAATAATCATCTCTATATCTATCTAATCTAACTCCTAATATTCTAATCACAATCTTCCTCATAATCAACCCTTCTTTTTTACTTGGAAACATCATATCTTAAAAAAGGAAAAAAATAAATTAAATATATAATTCATGGTTATATGTGAAATAGGAAAATGTCATTATCGGTATAGTTTATCAGTGTTCTACTATACTAGAAAATAAGACTGTATAAATTTCACTAATACCAATAATATAGAATTAAATACATAATTATAATTGGGTTAAATCTCAACATTTCCTTACATTTTTTTATGAATCATTACGTGAGTCCTACACGATCGGCTTTGAATTTTTAGGGGTTTAAGATGAAACCAAAATAGGGGCCTATATTCATTAAAAGAAGAAAAAAAAAATCCTATTTGGTATCATTATTGGCGATTAATACTAAAATAGATATCAAAATGTATTCATTCTAGAGTACAAAAGAAATAAAATAAAAATACCAGCGATTGATATTAAAATAGATATCAAAATGTATTCATTCTAGAGTACAAAAAAAAAAAATACCATAAGATATAGTTTAAATCAACAAAACAAATTAATTAATCAACAAATTTAATTAATTAAATGTTCTAGCAGTGTGAAACAAACAAATCTACTTATTTCTTGCTACCAAAATATTTATCAAGTGCTCCCGATTGAGATTGAATTAATTGTTCTACTTCCAGCTTCTTCTTTCTCTTTTCATTTCTAGAACTATACTTATTAAGAAACATGATTATAATTACAATTCAATCCACAAACCACAATCCACTGGTTATTTCATATTTGATAATAATGAAAATATAAAAAATAATTTAATGAAACAAAACTAGGGCAAAAATTAGGAAAAAATTATTTATTCCATTAAAATCTAATAAATATAGAAGGTAAAAAAAATTATGGCAAATTTATTATTCCACTACAATCTAATAAAGAAAGAAGGTAGAAAAAAATTATGATAAATTTATTTATCCCATTAAAATCTAATAGTAAGAGGGAGGGAGGGAGAGAGAGAGAGAAAGGTGACTTATTGTAAGAGAGAGAGAGAGTGAGTGAGTCCGCCGTTGATAATTTCCAATTAATTTCTGCCGCTGCTCAGTGCTCTGCTTATACCTGGTATGCTTTCTTTCCTTCGTCACCTTGTGAGAAAGAGATTGAGAGTTTGTATGTATTATTCTTCTCCCTGGGCCATCAACGTTTTTTTGTAGATATTTTAATTTTAATTAGGCCAAATCACACTTATAAATAATTATGGTCCA